ACCATCACACACTGCTGGTGGGAATGCAAACTGGTGCAACCACTATGGAAAACAGTATGGAGATTTCTCAAAAAATTAAAAATAGAAATACCTTTTTTTTTTAGGAAGATTAGTCCTGAGCTAACTACTGCCAGTCCTCCTCTTTTTGTTGAGGAGGCCTGGCCCTTAGCTAACACCACGCCCATCTTCCTTTACTTTATATGTGGGACGCCTACCACAGCATGGCGTGCCAAGTGGTGCCATGTCTGCATCCGGGATCCAAACCGGTGAACCCCGGGCCACCGAGAAGTGGAACGTGTGAACTTAACCACTGTGCCACCGGGCTGGCCCCGAAAAATAGAAATACCTATGATCCAGCTATTCCACTTCTGGGTATTTATCCAAAGCACATGAAAACACTAATTTGCAAAGATATATGCACCTCTATGTTCACTGCAGCATTATTCACAATAGCCAAATCTTGGAAGCAACCTAAGTGCCCATGAAAGGATGAACAGATAAAGAAGATGTGGTGTCTATATACATACACACTCACACAAAATGGAATACTACTCAGCCATTAAAAAAGATGAAATCTTGCCATTTGTGACAAGGATGGACCTTGAGGGTATTATGCTAAGCGAAATAAGTCAGGGAGAAAGACAACTACCATGTGATTTCACTCATAGGTGGAAGATAAACAAACAAATGCATAGATAAAGAGAACAAACTGGTGGTTACCAGAGGGGAAGAAGGTAGGGGCAAAAGGAGTAAATGGGCACAGATGTATGGTGACAGATTAAAAACTAGACTTTTGGTGCTGAACACAATGCAGTCTATACAGAAGTCAAAATACAATGATGTACATCTGAAATTTATATAATGTTATGAACCAATGCGATCTCAATAAAAGAAATCAGAAGTGTATGTACTCATGGTTAATATATATTAAATATGGAAATAATACAGACGTGTATATATGCATGTTGAGGCATATACATTTCCTAGCTCTGTCTGCTAAGAGGTTCTGGAAGCAATAACATTCCATTGCATGAGTACACCTAGCACCCAGATTGGTTTCTAAATACCATTTTCCAAGAAAAGGAATCAGGGCTCCTTGGAGAAATGGTTTATTCCAGGCCTGGGGCAGGGAAATTACAAAATGAGCCTAGAGCATCTTGTGGTGCCAAAAGTAAGGAAGTGCTTACAACACACTGGAGATAAGCTGAAAGCACACAAGAGCCAAGTTGAAGGACCTTCCAATGGCCAAATCTGGGACAATTTGAGCTACAAAATAAATAAGTATAGTAATGAATAATAACCTACAGAATAAAATAAATATCCATGGTCCATACTGATATAAATAAACAAGTGAATAAATAAACAGGAGAAGAGGCAGTCCTTCCTTACAGTAGAATTTCAATTAAATGTAGAAGGAACAATGGATATAGAAAAATCACCATTAGGTAAATATCACAGTAACAACTGCTGCATGCAAAAATCATTAATGGATGCTAAAACTACTGTGCGAAAGTGTGATGTAAAAGAAGATATTTGCATTGTCTCCTAGCAGTTCCATACCAATGAGATACTTAGGAATCACAAAGGGAAAAACAGTAACTTTACATTGGAAAAACGTGACAGATCCCACCTAAACCAAGTGACCAAAGTTAATAGCACCAGCAATGAGACAGCAACATCACCTACCTTCTGATAATGATGAACTGAGAAGGGTACAACATCACTTATGTGATATTTTTCCAAAAATACGTAACCTCAATCTAATCATGTGAAAACATTAGACAAACCCAAATTGAGGGATATTCTACAAAATAACTGGCCAGTTATCTTCAAAAGTCTAAGAGTCATGAAAAACACAGAAAGACTGATGAACTCTCATCAATTGGAGGGGACTAAGGAGACACGACAACCAAATACAATGTTGGATCCTGAATTTGATGGATCATGGACCAGGAAAAGGACATCGATGTGGCAACTGGTGAAATTCATATAAGATCTGCAGAAGAGTTAACAGTATTGTATCAGTGTTACTTTCCTGATTTTGATAAATGTACTGTGGTCAGGTAAGATGCTACCATTAGGGGAAGCTGGGTGAAGCATATAAGGGAATGCTCTGTTCTAGTTTTGCAACTTTTCTGTAAGTTGAAAATTATTTCAAAATAAAAAGTTAAAAAAAACTATTCCCATTGAAAGTATTACAGAAAGCTAGATTTGATTTAATTTAGCCTGCTCCAAAGTTAACTCTACAGTGGTAGTTTTCTGGTATTGTCTATAATTGGGAAAAGTTTTTCCTTTAAATTTAGTTGACAAAAACCTCCAGTTTTAAAATATATATTATAAATTGTTGAATCTGGGGAGTCACTATATCACAGGAAGAAAACCTCTACTTTTGTATATGTTTGAAAATTTCATTAAAAAAATTTAAAATACATATTACAGACAAGCTTTTAAACTGCTTGTTAATATACACAAGATAATTTTTCTATCATTCCTATAAATATTTAGAATTCTATCATGGAATGTTTAGGGCTAGCAGGACCTTAGAAATCAAGAGGTCTGCCCCTGCGTCACTGTGCAGGAAGGAAGCTACAGCCCAGAGAGCGGAGGTCCCCTTAGAGTCAGTGGACGTCAGAATCCTATCTCCCGACTTCTGGTCTAGGTACTTCTCTGACATTACACATCTGCACTCTTCATTTATTCTAAAACTTATCATAAACGATAACTATGCAAACACTTCAACTGCAATAGTACAGTACCACTATTTATAACCGTTTCCATTTTAAAAAACCCCCCAAACGAAATCTGAACTAATTTGCCAGACTTGCGGAAATGAAATATGGGTCCAAAGTAGTATACACAACATTAAAGATAAGAAAATCAACTGTTATGGTTTACTGTTTTAAACGAACTCTTTATTTTAAATAAGCCTTTAATAGTTCATGTTGCCATCCTTGTTTAGTGATTTGATTTTTCTCTTAATGGAAGTATTTCTCTGTTTTCTCAACTCTCTTTTTTTGAAGCACTTCAGCTCAGTGAGTGTCATCTTTCAAACATTTATCCATGTAGAAAGTGTTTACTGAACATCAAACGTGTGTAAGGCACTGTGTGTGATGCTGGAAACAAAAAGATACAGATTCTAGTCCTCAAAAACTCACTGTACACTTGGGAAATGGGTAAATGCTGATCACAGTTGTCCCCGCTTATCCACGGTTTCACGTTCTGCAGTTATCTGTGGTCAACCACGGTAGGAAAATATTAAATGCAAAATTTCAGAAATAGACAATTCATAACGTTTAAATTGTGAGCCATTTTGAGTAGCGTGGTGAAATCTTGTGCTGTCTTGCCCTGGGACATGAACCATCCCTTTGTCCTGTGCATCCCACTGTATATGCTACCCCCCTATTAAGTCCCTGAGCAGCCAACTCAGTTATTGGATCAACTGTTGCAGTATCGCAGTGCTTGTGTTCAAGTAACCCTTATTTTACTTAATAATGGCCCCAAAGCACAACAGCAGTGATGCTGCCAATTTAGATATGCCAAAGAGAAGCTGTAAAGTGCCTCCTTTAAGTGAAAAGGTGAAAGTTTTGGACTTAGTAAAGAAAAAGAATCATATGCTGAGGTTGCTAAGACCTATGATAAGTTCTATTACAGTACATTGTTATAATTGTTCTATTTTATTATTTATTGTTGTTAATCTCTTACTGTGCCTAATTTATAAATCAAACTTTATCACAGGTATGTACCGATAGGAAAAAACAGTATATATGAGGTTCAGTACTATCCATGGTTTCAGGAAGCACTGGGGGTCTTGAAACCATTCTCTGCCGATAAACGGGGACTATAGTCATGTGTCGCTTAATGACATGGATACATTCTGAGAAATGCGTCGTTAGGTGATTTTACACAAATACCATAGAGTGTACTCAGACAAACCTAGGTGGTATAGACTACTACAAACCTAAGCTATATGGTACTAACCTTGTGGGACTACCGTCGTATATGCAGTTTGTTGCTGACTGAAACATCGTTATGTGGTGCGTGACTGTACCGCACAATATAAAGTGACAAGTAGTGTACACAGTGGTATATACAACGTGCTCTGGGAGGGAGGAAGAGGGACCAGTTATCCCAGCCTTCAGAAGTGTCCTTACTCCCAATTTAGCAAATGAAGAAACAGAACAGCTTCAGGTCACTCAAATGGAAGACTGGAATTTGAATCCAAGTGTCTGGACATAGAATAGAATGAACACTATTACGCAGTTTTGTTTTTTTTTTTTTTTTTTTGAGGAGGATCAGCCCTGAGCTAACATCTGCTGCCAATCCTCCTCTTTTTGCTGAGGAAGATGGCCCTGAGCTAACATTCATGCCCATCTTCCTCCACTTTATACGCCTGCTGCAGCATGGCTTGCCAAACGGTGCCATGTCTACACCTGGGCTCCGAACCGGTGAACCTTGGGCCGCTGAAGTGGAATGTGCACACTTAACCGCTGTGCCACTCGGCTGGCTCCTATTATCCAGCTTTGATCTAACAAAATGATGAACTGTTTTATCTGGATGACAGCCTGTGAGGTGGGTTGGAGAGCCCTGACGGGGATTACAATCTACTGCTCTGTTTAGTAACTCTGTAATTTGGGGCAATTTATGCAACTTCTCTGAATTCACTTTTCTCACTTGGGGATAATAAATCTTACCTCATGAAGTTACTGTGAGAAATAAATGAACAAATATTTAAGGCAACTAATATAGTTGTTGGCACACCAAGGAGTTCACGGACTAAGAATTCCTTGATGGATGGGATTATCTTTTATTCATTTTTTGAGTTTGTAGAGGCTGGTACAATACCTGGCACATACATGTTGAATGAATATTTACTAAATGAAGTCACTATTAAATAAATGTTGAATTTAAAACTATTCTTGAGATATATTCAGTATATTTATTTCTACAAACAGATTTAAAAAAGAAATCTCTTTCATCCACATAAATGGAATGCAACTTACTTTCTACTGTTGCTCCTTCGTTTGGGTTTGAATACCCTTCTCCTTTCTGTTTGATTCTTCGGATAATGCCTCCATCTTCAAATAAATCCTCTCCTTTGAAATCAAGGAGCTCAATCTAGAAAGGAAAAAGGGATTCGGCTGAGAAAAGACAGAACAGTCAATTTAACAATTTAAAGGCAAGGGCAACCAATTCTCCTTTCATTTTACAAAAATAAAACTCTGTTTTATATTTATCTATGCATCTTAGGTATTGGAAAAGTAGGGAAAAAAGGACACTACATTTTTCAATACCTGGAAAGAACTTTCATGTAATGATAATGTCTAGGACTACATCCTGTGGGGCCACAGTGCAAAGACAGACAGGAAATACTAGGAAGACTGCCTTGTGGGCAGAAGGCCAGAGCTACAAAGTGCTGGCGCAGGACTATTTCGTCTGACTCTAGAAGCCGCCACTTTCCCACCCCAGATTCACGGAATTCCTTCTTAAAATTTAAGAATAAATCCTATGAATCATGCCTACAACCAACTAATGGTGTATTTGACCTAGGTACGATGTTTGAAGGATTTCCCCCTTAATTTTTTTAACGAGGTTTGGCCAAATATGCGTAATTCAACACAGGATAAAAAATGTATTATCACCACCTACTGCTTCCATTGAAGAAGTGAGACCTGTGACATTTACACACCTTTATAATATGAAAATAACTTACAACTTGGTTGAGGTATATTTCAACATTTATCTCCGACATTTCCGTCCTGTCTTCCGGTCAGTTTCGAGTATGTCATACTCACACCACTGACCAGAACTTTTATTTCTAAGCCTGGTGTCTTTTGTTTATTTGGATATGACTTTTTTGTGCCAGAGACACGTTTCTAAGAAAGCACTGGCACACACCCCTTGGGTTTGTGGGAAACAATTCAAGAAGCCAAGCTCCAAAATAAATAAGTTGGATCTGATTCTCAATAGCAAGCTTAGTTCCTTATTCCACTGCCTGCTGCTTCAGAGCCAGCACTACAGTAGAGCGGATGCTAACAGGGCGACATCACACACATACTTGCCTCAAAAAAGAGAGTTGCATTTGAGGGAATTTTGGGGAGGCTGCCCGCCGAGCCATACGCATATTCTGGTTTGCACAGCAAATGGCAGACCTCTCCTTTCTTCATGGTCGCCACCCCAATGTCCCATGCCTTGATAACTTGGCCTACGAGAAAGGAAAAGGCAGTCGAAAGCTAGAGGCCACATTTTCAAGGATTTAACTCTCATAAAACAAAAGTTCAAATAAATTTCCAATTCTTTACAATACATACTCAGCTAGAAAGTAGGAGCTACAAAACGAAAGAAATCAGCAAAAACTACACACTAAGAAATAAACTGATTTTTCTGATGGCTATCAGAGTGGATTCCCTGCTGAGCAGATGAAAGTAGTATCAATTTCTAAACTGCACAAAGATTAAGTCTTTGAAAAGTAGCAGTAACGTAATCTTTGAAATGTGTCTGGGCTGCAGTTGTTGCTTAATTTATAATTTCAACCATAATAATAAGTGCATGTTTTCTAGGCAGAGATGGAACAAAAATAGTATAGAAAATAGAATTTGTCCTAAGGAAGCTTGTAATTTACTTGGGTAGACAAAAACAACAAACAAGAAACCAGAAAAGTATAAATTGCATAAAGGGGCCCATGAAACAGATTTCTTTTCAAAATTTAGAATAAGAAAAAAAGTGTTTTGGCTTTTTTTAAACAAAATGGTATGTGTCCTTTTGTCAAATCACAAGAACTAGAGAAATTAGAATTTTTCCTTTTTTTTTTTTTTTGCCTACTTCCAAGAAACTAAAAGTTAACTTTACTATAGAACTGTATCAGCCTATATAATTGTACTTATATTTTACAATAAGCAGTCTCAAATCCTTTGGGAAGTAACAGAACATGTAGGTAATTTAAAGGGATAAAATATAAAATTGAGGTGCTCAGTCAATCAAAAACTTCGGTATTCAAAGTGGGATCAAGCAAGCAGTGAAGCCCAGAGGAAGTGCGTTTTGAGGAGAGCCATTATCTCGAACGGAGAGCTGCTGGTAGGATATGAGAAGAGGAGGAACCCTACACTAAGTATGTAAATAGGGATGGATAGAGCATGTGTGACTCAGGGTTTCAGCTTAGTGTTCATTAAGTATTACGATTTTTCAAGATATCAGATACATTCATTTTAGTTAAAAATTTATTATATTATATATGTCTATTATTAAAGCACACTCAAGAGTGAAAGACATAAAGTGAGAGGTAAAAGGTCATCGGTCCCCTCCTTGTAAGAAGCCACTGTTATGTTTGTTTTGTACCCTTCCATTGTGTGCTGTCGCTTTTTAAAAAATTCAAAACACAAATGACAGCATACTATACATTCAGTTCTGAACTGCTTTTTCATTTAATATACGTATCTTGATCTTTCTCCAACAGTAGAAAAGAGGATATGCATTTTAGAGGTTAAAAGTACAGGCTGTTTTAACCTCAGACACCTAGGATTCAAATACCAGGTCTGCTCCTTATCAGTTATGAGACCCTGTGCAAGTTGTTTAACCTCTGTGCCTCAGTTTCCTTATCTGCAAAATGTAGATAATAATAGTACCTGCCATATAGCTGTTCCAAGAATTATCAGAAATATGTCAAAGGCATGGCACAGTTCCTGGCATATAACATGTATTTAATAAAGGACAGCCATCATTACCATCATCATTGTAAATGCAAACAGATCTACCTCATTCTCAACAGCTGCATAATATTCCAGTCACTCTCCTATTGAGAAACATATTATCAACCGTACTCTAATAAGGATATTTGTCCATATATGTTTGCCTACTTTGTGCAAGTATATATGGAGGGTAAATTCCTAGAAGTGCAAAGGGGATGTGCATTTTCGATTTGATAGATAATACCCAAATGCTCTTCCAAAATGGCTATATCAATTTATATGCCCACACATGGTTCTACTGTGCAAACAGTCCAGAATCATCTGAAGAAATGGAAAGTCTGCTGTTGACAGGCTGCTTTCCTGTCACTGATGCTCTTTAAAGACTGCTAAGTTTCAGTGTGGGCCACTGAGAACATTTTTTTTACTATCAACTATGATATTTTAAGGCAAATACCTTATATACTCCTTCAGGAATTTTTTTTTTCTTTAAGATTGGCACCTGAGCTAACAACTGTTGCCAACCTTTTTTTTCTTTTTTTTCCTGCTTTTTCTCCCCAAATCCCCCCAGTACATAGTTGTATATTCTTAGGTGTGGGCCCTTCTAGTTGTGGCATGTGGGACGCCACCTCTGCGTGGCTTGATAAGCAGTGCCATGTCTCTGCCCAGGATCCGAACCAGTGAACCCTGGGCCGCCAAAGCAGAGCACACAAACTTAACCACTCAGCCACAGGGCCGGGCCCAGGAAATCTTTATGTTGTGGGGGTACTACTGTACATTTGTTCAAGACATTTAGCCAATTACCGAGGAGCAACGGTCAGGTACTAAGACTACAAAGGTGACCATTCCCTTCTTCCTTCCAAGGAACATGCAATGTGGTGTGGCTACTGGAGGAGAAAGATGCATATATTTTTTTCACTTTTGTTTTAAACAAAGTATGGTAAGCACCAGAGTACAAACAAGCAGCACCCGCCTTGGGGTGGGTTTGGAGCAATCAGCAAAAGCTAAATCTATAGACGATATGGACACTAGGCCTCAGAAGCTGGAAACATCAGCCCGTCCATCAAATGCACAGGAGCTCCAAGCTAAGTCAGTCACGCCCGCGCCTTTGTTTTTCTCCTCCTTTGGGAACGTTCAAGCTTCCCTCCATGGAGCTTCAGATAACGGAATGAAGCACACTGAGCGCAGAGCCAGGCTAACATGAACACAGGTATGCTTCTAAAACTGCCAATCTTGGGGCTCTTTTCTTAAAAAGCATTTCCCCTGACTGAAAAAAACCAGTACATACTCAGTACAGAACACTTAAAAAAGTACAGAAAAACATAGAGAATACAATAAAAAACTTCTGAAATCCCAGCATCTGGGGTAAACTGTCAGTTTCTTGGTTCATTTGCTTCCAATTATATATAATGTATACTTTGTTTACATAGTACATTTTTACACATACATTCCTAAAATTCTGGTCATAGTTTATTTGGTTTTGTAGCCTACTCTTTATATTTCATATTACATAAGCAGTTTTCTTGTTAAAAGATAATATATTAAAAAATGACTTTTAATAACTATATACTATTCTATCTTTTGAATATACCATAATTTCATTACTCTCATTAATAAACATTGGGTTGTTTTTATTTTTTTTACTATGATAAAGTTTCAGTGAACAACTTTGCACCTAAATCATTACAAGACTGTTTCTGCACAGTAAAAGCTCTCAACCGACACAATCAGGACTATGTTGGTAGGTTAATTTAAAACATTGCTTTATGAGAGGAATCATAAGACAGGACATAGAAATACCTCAAACATTTTTTTTAACTTAAAACATATCAAAGTATATTAGTTCACTAACTTTGTGTTAGGAGGCCATGGCCTTGCCTTTAAGTGTAGCTCCAGTGATAAGAATTTCACATTATTTTTACTGTATAAATCACACTTAGGCTTTATCATTTGCCATTTAGAATGTGGGATTCTTTAACGTGGAGTAACAACCAGAGGACACTTGTAAAGCAATCAGTATGCAGAATCCTCCCGATAAAAATGTGTTCTGAATGGCCTGCTCATTTCGCCTATCTTTTACCCACCCCTAATTCAACAGCCATTTAAAAAATGCTTTTAGCAATTCACCTTAATAAGTCTTTCCAAAAATGTTCAACTCAGTTTTCTTAGAAATAATTCCTTTCTTTTTACATTAATTTCAGTGTTTTATATAATAGCCAATGAAATTGTATAATTACAAAGAGTGCAATGTATATAAACAGGCTTCAGCGGATTCTTAGTAAGAGCCTGAGGAAGAAAAGCGCAGCCCCTACATCGCAAACTGTTGACACTTACCGCTCGGCCATACTGATGTCTGAAGCTGGCCTGGGACACACAGCTAGGCCATGCTATTCTCCTGTTGGACATAAACAATCTCACAAGACATCAACATCGGATAAGGTCATTCTGAGACCACGAAAATGTGAGAAAAAACAAGGATACTTTAAAAGTTTGTCTGAGCATGGACAAAAAAACCAAGGTCACTGCGCAACCTACAAAATACCAAACATCCCCCTCTCCTGGCTAATAGGAGTGATTGCTGCTTTTCCAGCAGGTATAGCTTTAGTCTCCTCCAGGCAGTCCTCCTCCCAGATAAGACTGAAGAGCTTCAAAGAATCACCCCACATCCTAACGATGTCCAATCCAGAGCAAAGCCCCTCTTCCTTAAACCCTTCCCCAAATCACCTAATACAAGCCCAAATTCTATAAGTCCTTTCAAACACTCTGATTGAGACATCCCACAGTTTCCCATGCTGTGCATTCTCCCTCCCTACAGAAGTAATAAACCCAACTTGTTCAACTGCAGGTGCGTTTCAGTGTTCTGTGACTGGATGGCACTGACCAGGCCCACTCAACTGGCTGACGCAGAGTGTGGGACCACACCACAGAACAGGAAACCAGTGCTATCACTCAGTATATTTACAGACAGAAAGGAGAGCATCAGTTAGTCTGGAATTGGTTAAGTAAGCTTCTACCATGTTTCCTTAGGTTCAATTCCTAGAAGTAGGAATTGAAGTACTGGGTCAAAGCATAAACAATTTTAAGATTCTTATTTTAAGATTATTTTTTTGGGGTCTAAGATTGGCCCTGAGCTAAGATCTGTTGCCAATCTTCCTCTTTTTGCTGGAGGAAGATTATCACTGAGCTAACACCTGTGCCAATCTTCCTCTATTTTTGGTATGTAGGACCCTGCCACAGCATGGCTTGATGAGCAGTGTGTAGGTTTGCACCTGGGATCACCAACCCGGGACCAGCAAAGCAGAGCCCACAAACTTAACCACTATGCCACTAGGCTGGCCCCAATTTTAAGATTCTTGATCTTTAGGATCTTAACTGTAGGTATAACACACCAAGTACATATAAATGCAATTTATTCTTACATCTGATCTGGACTTGAATTTTATTAGCTCAAGTACAATTTACTTTATCAATTTCAAGAGTCCCATTCCATTTGCAATAAAATCTGCAATAAGAATATAATGTA